TTGACAACAGAAGGAATGCTGCTTTCAAGTTTATGTAGTGGAGTTATAGGTGAAAACAAATGTCAAAGTCTTGAGTAAAGAAGGGGGAATTGCAGCTGGTCAGTCACTGCATGAGAGTGAATGAACAGCACATCTTGCACTCCTCTGTCTGAGAGGATAAAAAACCATTTGCAAGCACACTTACTGAAATAGAAATCAACTGTCTCCACTTGTCCTGATCAATCTATCAATTGCAAGAAACTGTCAGATAGCTTAAACCAAAAACAAATTTATAGTTAACACTCAGGGATGGGCCAAAACTAAAAATCAAGGCAAAAGGCAGCCTTAAATTGTGTCATTTATCTCCTGAAAACATGAAACTGAGGTAAAAGCCATCCCAAGTCTGGCCCCAAAGACTGTCCCCAGGATGGATGGCATGTGAATCCTGTGACACTACACCAGGTGGATGGCCCTCTGGGTTGCTGTGTTCAAAGAACATCAGACCTACAATGAGATGTCCAGGCTTGAACGTGGTTCTGTTGGAACAATTTGTATTTAGTGCTCAGTGAGGGGCTTAGCACATGGCCTGGCCTCTGAGGAAGGGACCTGCCAGGGCACTCCTCTGAGCCGCCCTTCTGAAAAACAGGGAGTGAGGAAGGAGAAGAGAGTTGGGTACTCAGTGTGTAGCCTAACGTGGATGTTCATCCTTACTAGGTATCTGGGAGAACTGCTGCACTCTGCACTGAGACCAAATAAAGCCGGACGTGAGACATGCATCAAGGTATTAGAAGGGCAGTAGAACACTAGTAAATCCTAAGTCCTGTGAGCTCTGCTCAGTGACAGTCTTGCTAGAGCACCACAGGATTTCCTCCCAGCAGGAAACTGCATTATAGAGCAAGACACCATCTCCCCTTTCCCTCACATTCCTGACCTTTTTCATCTTGTGGTTGCTATGCCACTGAAATAAGACCTTCCTCCTGACAGCAGTGCTAGGCAAAGCTCAGTTTCTGCAAGATCATTATTCCAGCTGTCATCTCGTCCTCAAGATTCCCATGGATCACTTGGTGAGCACTCTGGCACTCAGAGCACACCAGCTCAAGAGTAGAAAGGAAATAGCACTTCCCAAGCACCTCACTGGCACCCTCAGAACCTCATGCTCTTTATTTCAGCCCTAGGCTTCGTCTGTGACCCTCCGCAGTGCCACGTTTTTCACTATCTGTTTTCCTCTGGCAGCAGTTTAGAGATAACTCCATCTAACAGGGCACTATTCTTAGCCAGTGGCCCAGCGGCAGGTGCAGCCGTGGGCACAAAGCCGCACGTGGGAAGGTGGCAGAGCATCAGTGATATCATCCCTGCAAGCAGCCCCAGGGCTTCAGGCTAACTGGGGGTGCTCAGGCATGAGTGGATGATTAAAAATAAACTAATTCAGGCCCAGGGTACTGAACAGTTAGAAAAAATCCTATCTAGAAACTTAGAGGAATAATGAGTGATAAGCAGCCATGGAGTAAGTAGTGATAAGCCAAGCGGAAGCCTTTGCCTTTAGAAGTCATGCTGCTGGTGGCAGCTGCAGCTGTGCCTGTGCTCACTGTGCTCCTGTAGCCACAGCAGTGACAGAAATGCGAAAGTGGAAGTTTTATCTTTCTTTGAACTTTTTTCTCTCTGAAAAGTGCTGCTACTCATGCTTGGCTCAATAAACCCGGTCCAACATCTGTATGGAGCCGTTCATAAAAAAGCACATGAGAGGGGAAGCAGGGAAAACCGAATGTCACTGAGATTCATATGTGACATTAAAGAGCCCCAGATTCATGACCAAAGGTATTCCTATGAAATCTGTCACATGCCAAATGTTAAAGTTCTGTGTGGTATAACTGGCTTCAAATACAGGTAAAGACATAGATAAATTGATGCATAAGCTATAAAGCAACAAAGGCATTCAAGAGTAATAAGAGAAAATGTTGGAAAAGTCTCAAAAACTTTTACTGGAATATGTTAACAAACTACACATTTTTAATTCTTCAGCATCTTTTTTCAATTTAAAACAAAAACTGTGTATACAAAAAACCTGCAGACACTGACAGATGTTTTCTTTTTATGTATTTATGTTTCTAAAAAAAAACCGCTATGGGAAATAGTGGTCAAAACAAAGTTTTATTTTTGTCAGATATCACTTTTCATTTCACATTAGTTTCAAACCTGTACTTTGCTGTGTTCAGAGGAGCTCCTCTGTGCCTGAGCAGTGCCACCTGACTGCAAGCAGCACTGAGGATAACACACTTTTCCCATTCTCTAAAAGCATGTAGAATTTTTCCTCCTTGATATAGAGAAAATCCGTTGAAATAAGAATTCCCAGGAGAGGATCTTATAACTTAGGGCACTAGCATAAGTTCTTTCTGAACTCTTCCAGTGCAGAGATCCAATAACTGAGGACATTACAGGCTACAGAGTATGGCTGAATTAAAAATAGTTTTACTGTCCTTTGAGTGGGCAAGTAAGGCTACAGTAGTCAGTCTAAGAGCTGTCTCTACCTCCTACCATCCCCTTTGGCAGCTTCTTGAATGGTCTTATCTATTTTATAGAGTTTCATATGGCTCTTTGCATGTATGAATTTTGCCTCGCCTAGTATCTGGAGAATAACTGAGTTACATGTTGTACATGCAAAATTAATTCCCAACATGTCTGCAAAACCACTGCCTGCATCCAACTTCCACATAGTTCTGGGGTTGCAGGGAAGCGACCTGGATCCTGTACTAATGTGACCTGCAAGTCACTTTTCAGCCTTGTCACCCCTAAATACCATTTGACTTGTAGGTCATTCTTTGGGGCACTATTCTTTGGTGTTGAGGGGGTGAGTCAACCCTCTACATGCTACCTGCTGTTGGATAACTGTTGGGCTCATAAAAACTGGGACATCCTTAAGAAAAAGCAAGGTGGGGGGGGGAAGAAAAAAATTGATGTGCTAGGTATGAATAATAAATAGTTGCGGTAGAAATGCCTAAAGAATTGCAGCTGTAAAGTCCCCCAGCTCTGAAGCACCTGGCTGTGAATTGAAAGGGCCTACAGCTACCTCAGAGTCAGTTTTGACATTTATTTTTTTAAATTCTTTCAGAATATTAGACAAATAAGAAGTTTTAGACATCTTTGTGATGTTATTGCTCATCTGCAACAATTTTTGTCACTTTACTGAATGATTTTCTACATTTACATGGTGTCTGGGGCTTTTTAGCGTGCCAAGTAGACTGGTCTGTGAAGAAGACAGGCATGTAGGTTTCTCTCCCCTGACCAGTGCCCACAGGAACACCACACAAACACACAGCATGGTCACACAAAAATTCTGAACAAAGCTGCTGTGCTCCCCACCTACCATCTGAGCTCTTTCATTGAGTTCACCCTCTTCCAGGTTTACACTCTTTGAAGAGTATGAGAAAATAATTGCTTCTTCTCTTTCTGGAGCACAGGAAAAGTATCCCTAGGAAACAGACATTTGTTATAGTCTGGCTCAGCAGCAACACCAGTATGTCATTGAACGTTGGCAGAATACCACTGAAGGCAAGCCATAAAAGTAAGAAAAGGTTTGGTAGACTGTACAGCTGCTTCTTGTTCTGTATCTGGCTGGTGAATGGAGAATTCAATCTCTATTATGGCCAAACCAGTACACTTTACAATGTTAAATTGCTTGGAAAAATGAAAAGAATTAGAAGTTTGCAACTAATCTCAATTAGAAGTCCTCCTGAAAAGAATTAGAAGTTTGCAACTAATTTCAGCATGGTCATGGGTTTAAATTCTTTTCTTACTGGTTGTTCAAAGGAGATTTCAAATATTTTGGTGTGAAATTTTGAGAAAATATATTTTCAAATTCATGAGTCCAAAATTCCTCGGAACCAATCAATTTTTCCAGATAAGCGGAGCATAATTTGCTTACTACATTCACTAGATCTGCTTCTGTCAAACTTGCCTAATTTTTATGCTAAAGATTGCTTACCTTAAGTATTGTTTACTGCCTTTTGACACTCTTTGAAAGATGCACACAAAAAAAAAAAAAGGGAAAACTACCATTTTACAAAACTCCTATCAAATTCTCAAAATAGTCTGAGAAAAATTAGGAATCATTTTCTTTAAGTACCACAAGATTAAGTAATAATACCATTAGGTTGTCTTATAATTGCATTCTTCTTTTTCTAACAATTAGATGCACTTACATTTTCAAGCACTTCTCTGCAAACATGAGGATTAGAAATGAATACTTTACTTTTTAAATGCAATTAACACAAGCAAACAAACAATCTCAGCTTCAGTTGGCATAAATCAGCATAGTCACACTGGTGGAATTACAGTCTATGCTGAATTTTTTCAGTTAATAATCACAGGTTCTTCCCATACATCTTTTTGTCACTCCATTTATCTCACATGATGCTTCTTTCCCAGCCCTGTTTTAACAAAGCCTTTCTCATGGTCTATGTGTAAGGCATTCTCCTGCCAGTGAAAGTAAAAAGTATCATATTTTTTCTGGGATCCTGCCTTCCTTCCAGCTGCACCTCAATACAGACAGCATCACCTAGACAACAGCTGGCCACAGGTGATGCATAGCAGCAGTTCACTTCTCGGCCCCTCTCAGTGTCTGGCCAACCTTCTCTCAGTGGTTATCATCCCATGGCATCAGGAGAAGAATGGCTTAATGACCTTCTCTGTTCATCTAATTGCTTTTTGTTTGTGGCTACAAGGTACACCAGATGATGCCAGTCATTTAGCATCACACCCCTAAAAATCTCTATATGATCTATACTTGCTGTTGCTGCATCTACAGTGTTAACTGTAATGTCAATAAAGTTGTCTTGCAGCTAATTGGGTACTGAAGGAATCTTGAACCGGCTAATCAGAAAAAACATAATTTAGGCATGTTTTATGGAGTATACTTGAAGTTAAAGACATCAAGAACAAAAACATTTGAGAAGCAGGTGAAAAAACACCTAATTTTTAAATGAGAAAGGATAAGGGAGCATTCTGCTGGACCTGAGCTATGCATTCTGATGCAATAAATTTCCACTTCTTAGCAGTTAAGCCTGAATTCCCACTTTGTATAATCATTATTCCTAAAAAGCAAAAGTAATAACCTTGTAGATAGGAACTGAAGTGAGGCTAGATGAACCACTAGAAAATATCACGAGAGGGCCCTTCTGCAGTGATAAATCTGAATAAGATGGATTAACAAGATCTTTGCATCTCCAACTTCCATGCCTTGACTAAGATTTTCCATAATTTACAAAGAGTGCTATTTCACAGCTTTCCCCCACATACACAGTCTTCTTTAGAAAATCTAATATTGACTATGTCAGGAGAATGGTGTAGGTTTTCCTGAGTCGTTGTCCTCATTCAGGTTCATCCACTCCCTCTTCCTCAGAGATGTGTAGAGCAGTCTGTAACTTGACTATAGATGGTAATTGTGCATAATTTTAAACATCATGATGGAGATCATTCTGGACTTTTCTCAGCTCTTTTCAATATTTTCCTCAACTTTCTTATCATTATCAGCCGAAGATAATTTGACTTTATTTTTAGATGTCCTGCAAACACCTTTATTCAGGGAGAAGAAATAATTCACAGCTGGTACGTTCCTTAGTGCCTTTGCCAATCAAAACATACAGCTCGCCTTTTACTGGCAACATGGTTATCATGATTCAAGCCACTTGGCTCTTCTCTCAGCTCTCTCTGGCGTTTAAAGGAAAATTCACATCCATGAAGAAGAACACCATTGAGTCATTAAATATATTTATTTTAATATTTAAATCTTTGGCTGCAGAGAAGTGTCTAGGAAGGGTTCCATGTTTATCAAGGGGGCTTACTGAAACCACACCCACAGACAGCCCTTTTGCAATTTGCTGACACATTTGCTGTACACCCCTCTGTAAAAGAAAGAGGGAAGTCTGTATTGCAAAAGACACTAAAATATAAAGACAATCCTCTCCTTTGAGACTGCGAAGTGTTGCTGATGGAACAGGAAATCCAATTCCCAATGACACCACACGTGGTGATAAGGAAATTATTCTCCTCTTAGTCAGAGACACACTGGGTAATAAGCTGGAAGTCAAGTGCAATGATCCAGGACTTTACTGAAGTACAGTGTGACCTGTCATGTCTCACACATTGAGCACTTTCAGACTTAGACAATCCATGCTCTTTGGAATTTTGAGGCTTGAGCTGAACCTTGCTCATTTTCAAGGAAACTCTGTTTGGAGCACAGACTCAGCAGCTGAAAGACCACTTGGCCAGTATGGAAAGAGTTATAGTACAAATAGGAGCTCTACCTGTTGCAGGTGCTGCCTGGTAACATGGTTCCTCCCCATTCCTCCTCCTTTATGTAACTGCTATGAGCCAAGGCAGTATCCCTTATGTGCTCTCTTATAGCATTGTCTCCTCTTACGAAGCAGGAGAAATCTTACAGATCTGTAAGTGAGATAAAAATGAGAAAGGCAAAATCAAGATCATCCACTAGACATGCAAAGCAAAGAAAACACTTTTTTCCTTCTTTCAAATGAAATCTGTTGTACTATAAGAGTTATTGTAACCTTAAAAAGAGAACCTAGATAAAATCAAAACCCAGACAGGAAATAGAGTAGAAGAGTGGTTTTTTGACCTTTCCAAAACATTTCATTTTGAATCAGATTTTAAACACATAAGGGCAGGCAATTAAACAATAATTTTACAGTTACATTTTTTTAGCAAATCAAATAGGCAAAATTCCTGAAAATAATACATTCCTAAGGAATGCCCAAGTAAATCAGTCAAATGCTTGGAAAAAGAGGCAGGAAATCAGGAAGGTCTTCTTGGGAAGACTTCACTGGCTTGTCTAGATGAGAAACAGCAATACTGTGATGACATAAAAGCCTTTCTTTTCTCTTTCTTTACCTATTTAAGTTCTAAGGGAAAATTTGTTTCTTAGAGGACTGAATGTTGTAAATTTGTCTATACAAATCCAAACTGACATGAGTGACAGTTATCAAGCCCTGCTTTGTGACTTAGGATGCTAAACCTTACTGTATTCTTCTATAATGGGTTTCTAGAGTTAATAAAAAATATAATGTAAAAAATTTAGACAAGGACAAATCAGGAATATAATACCTCCATCTTTGTGCAGGAAAACTCTCGAGAGTCAACTAAAAACCTTTTTCAATTGCCTCCTTTGAGAAAAGAGAGGACATATTTGCAGGTAGCACTGAGCACAGGTGAGAGACATAGAGGAACAAAGGCTCTGCTTGTCATTTTGCATTTCCTTAGCTTTTGCCAGTTACCACCAGAGCCTATAAATATCTGCCTTTGGGCAGTGCAAGGCTCCCTGAGCCTTGGTTATACTAAACTTCCCAGCACCTGCCTCATCCCCAGGCCTTCTAGGGTCCACAAATAGGTGATCCTGACCACAGGTATGCCTGCAGGAAACACAGAGGCATTCTCTCCAGGTTTTACTCATTTTGGCAGTTAAAGTACATGGGAAAAGTGAGGCTGTGCTTCAAGGTGTACTTGGCTTGGACAAAGAGAAGACTATTTCTCTGCATCTGAATTCAGGCCCCATGTGAGCTATCTTCCTGGTGCCCAGGTTGGGAAGTTTGAGGTTTCTGTATCTGATCCTGCACCCTCCCCATTCAACCCATCAAAGTGGTTCACATGCCACTGCCTCTGTCCTTTTTTTTCTCCAGTCTTTTCCTACAGTCCATTTGCCGTGTCTCCAGTCTCCTGGATATTGTCATGGGTTACAGCTCCACTCGTAACCACTGGTTTAGTTTCAGCATACAGAGCTGAGGATTGAAGGGGTATGAGTGGGACAGAGTTGTTCTCTGCTACAGCTGTCAGCAGTCTGGTCCTTGCTTTCTTCTCACTCTGCCCGACCATTGCTACCTCCATTCCTCTAGGCCTGTCCCTGGAAATCCACACCAGTGGAATGACTTTCAGGGAGCTGAGATAACATTCAGGCTTTTACTTACAAACTGAGTGACCCATGAACATCTTGTATTTAAAAGTTTTGCCTATGGACCTCCTAAATGCTGGTGTATAGAGGATTCGGTGACGTTTGCTTACTGTGTTCAGTGAGAGCAAACAGAACTGGTCAGGTGCCAGAATTTTGAAAACAAATAAATCTCTGGCCACTAATAAGCTTACTGAGAAGTTCCCTTCCACATTTCAGCATGTCTTGATAAAAATCTCATAGTTTCTAGGGCCAAGTCTTTGAACAACATTATGCTGTCTTTTTCATTTGCTAGCAAAGAAAGTGGCCACCCTGCTGCTCTGGGACCTGTGAATATATGACATTGCTCAGCCCAAAGGATGTTAGTCTTGCTGAAGAGAGATCCACAGTAGTGGACAAAAATCTTTTCAGCCACAAATGAACTATCCTACCCACAACCCAACAAGGCATCTTTAGTTTTTATCTTTTCAAGACCATATGCATTTTGCTATACAGAAAGCACTATCACTTCTCATGTGGTTTGACCAAGAGGAGATTAACAAAGTGATCATAGATAGCTGAAGGAAACCTGCAGGCACTCAATTGTGCCCTGCATTTCAGAGCTGCTCTGGTATTTGAATACTCATGTCTGTCTCTCTAGGGAACTCTCCAATCCCGTTATCGTTGTTAAGGAGCATATCCAGACAGTTCTTTGGCTGGACAAACCATCAAGGCAAAAGTATAAGTAGGTTAGTGCCTAAATAACTGTTCCACCATGTGGTTTCGTACCCTGATCATTAATTCTGCATGAGTAAAGGTTTGCTGAGCTGCCTGTGCAGCATATGACCTTGCCAGTGTCAGCTGAGATTTCCATCCTTACAATCCAGAGTGGGTAAAAAGTGGCTGCCTTTCTGGCTGTGTTTTAAGCCAGGTTTGCTCTTCTATTTGGACAGCTCACTTGCTTCAAAATTTAACACTGAGCATACCTGCTTGAGCATTCATTTCTTTAGGTAGTATCTCTTGTAACCTCCCAGGATGACTTTGTTTGGTTCAGTCATGCAATTTGAAAGACCTCTTGCAACTACAAATAGTTTCATCATATGATAATTTTTGGGCACAAGGTGAAATACAGGAAAATCCACTGAAACATAAGAAAACCCTTTTTTTCACTATGTAGTTGTCTGAATATGGGAAGATGCTCAGAGAGGTTGTGACATCTCCACCCTTGTGGATACTCAAAATCTGACTGATCATGGCCCTGAGCTCTCTGCTCCACCTGACCCTGCTCTGAGCAGGGAGGTTGAACTAGATGGTCTCCAGAGGGCCTCTCCCACCCTCAGCTGTTCTGGGATTCCATTTTGCATGAGCCATTTCATGTATGTAGGACAAAAGAAAACCTTGTGATAGCCTTTCACACTCTATGATGGTTAGAAGAAGTCCCAGTGAAGGCTTTACCTTAGGCTTGTTGTTGGAGCCAAGGTCTCAGCTGCAGTTAGAAAAAGCTTTTCAAGGGGCAGGGAGGGAAGCCTGTGTGGCAGCACTGTAATGAAAACATGAAAACGTGATATAATGATTTTGAAGTCTCTAATCCATCAGAATGCAAACCATATGTTTAAGAAGTTTTAAATTAAAAAAACTTATGAATATTCACTACCTCAAAAAAAGGTTGATTTGTTTTTTCCAGACCAAAAATGTTTTTCCTGCTGCCATCAGTGAAGAATGTGTTAATGAAAACAAATTTCCCATGGACCTTTGATGTCATCTGAATGAAAGAAGAGAAATTGCTGTTCCTATTCAGACTTTGGTTTTTGTGACGCAAGCTGTCACTGGCAATGATGTTATACCACCACTTTCACAGGGTATATTTATCCAGCACTCACATATCGTGACTGGGTTGTAAAATTTGATTAATTCCTTCTGCATGCCCCACAAAAATGTCAGTGTCACTTGCATTATGACAACACAATGACAATTTCTTGCATATTGTTTGTACTTCTATAAATTAAATACTATTCCCCATCTCACCTCTCAAATTGTCCACCAACATATTGGATAGCAATTCCATACACTTTATACAATATTGTCTTCCAGAATATCTGTGTTTCAGTGAACTGAAATTACTTACAACATATTTTTAATCTTAAGCAATGATGATTACCATTGCAATGGACAGCAACAAATTAACCCCATGTATTGCCTTAAATGAGGAAAATATTTGGTAAGCAATGTACTACTGAAGTCAAGTCAACTTTCAAAGAGGCATTTGTAAGTAACTCATATAACTTTGTACTCATTGCGGTAGCATAAAAACAGAGAAAATATGATAAAATGTATTTTGAAAAATAGTCACCCTATTTTGCCATAGCTGTATTTTTTCTCCTTGTCTACTGTTTTTAATGGCTCTGGAAAATATTTCCCTTCTATTTACTTGCATCCTCATCTGTGAACCAGAATTGCTGATTATATCAGGATAGACTTTAGAACAGATTTCATTAAATATGGTTAGCCTAAAACTGTAGCTGCTAAATGACTAAAATTTCTTTTAAAATTATTGTGAAATTGCTAAGAGAACTTAGCATTATTATTGTACTGCACTATGCTTTATTGTTCCAGATATCGTTAAGCAAATGTGAAAAACTTGCATGAGGAGCAAGTTCCTGGAAACCCACAAAAATACTTATTGCTGGTGATGCTTAACTCTACCACTCTAGTAACCATTACAATGATATGTACTTGTTAGAAATGTTGGTGTATAATTTTTATTGCTTGGTTTAGCACACATGTAATCGAGGAATTTTTTTCCTTCCTAAAGGAAATTATTGCAAAAACAGAAGTTATATATATATATATAAATGCTATTATTTTAGCTATAGAGAGAAATTGTCTTACCGGAGATCAAAAGGTGACATGAATGGGGCAGGCCCTGCACAGTGCTGTTAAAAGTTGAAAATATGGAAGTATGAAGGACATGTTTAAATCATTACCTGGAGTGCTCATAGCCTGCAGTTTTCCTGCTCGTGAAGCAGAAACAGAACTTTAGATAGTTTTCTAACAATACCACGCAGACGTTTATACAAACAGCCTGTGCAATACCTTAGATAGGATAAACTTTAAGATCAGATAGTCCTGATGTGTCAAGGTGTAAACATAGTCACCATCTAGGCCAGTAACCTCTCTTTCTGCATGCTGCCACTCACCAGAGATGGTGAGTTTTGGGGTGAGGGGCTTCCCAGTGCCAGCCCCTTTGTGGTGCTGGATCTGGCAGGGCCCAGCTCCTTGGACTACGCTGCACAGGCCTTAGACACAGAAATGTCAGTGTCTTTTTTCTATGTCTTGCCTTCTCCACCTCTGCCAGCTTAGGAAGCCCAGCTCAGATTGCAGTGTCACAGTCCTTGCAGGAACAGAGTTTTCATTCTGTGTCCTTTCCCCTGGGATTGAGGTTTAAACTGTTTGAATGCTATTTAGGTCTAGGGAATCTGGGCCACTTTAGTGAGCCATAAATTACATGCTAAGCAGTGCTTAATAAGAAACCGGAATTGCATATCAGAAGCACACTTGAAGTTTGTTTTATTCGACGATGCTTTTATGAAATGGTATGATTTAGTGTTTTAAATAATTATAAATATTTGAAGTAATGAAATTACAGGACCTTTTTACTTTATATACAATCCTAAAACTTCTGTTCTAAAATGTGAATGGGTTGGAAATATCTCTATTCTAGAATGGGCTCTTCAGTTGCAGGCATTGCACATTAAAAAGTAATTCTAAACCAAAGAGATTTGTCCCCCCATGCATATACTAAATTTCTACGTATAATTGCACAACTCTAGGATTTCTGAATGCCAGATTTCAAGTTACACAGAAACATTAGTTTCTGAGTCACAATCTTAACTGACTATTAGGTATCAAGGTGTCACAAAATGTCATATCATAATTAGACTTGGTTTATCTCAATATATTCTTTTCAATGTAAATGTCTAAAGAATCAATAGGTATAGGACTCCATGACATTTTTGATAAGAAAATCTTCTATTTTAAGAATATTGGCTATTTAAATTATTAGTGGTCATATCTACCACCACTATACAGAGAAAGCTTCCAGTGACTTATGGATGAAATTTTGTCTGGCAACCAATTTTGTTTTGTCTGCATTGTCTACATCCTTCATATTCTACTGATTAATTCACATTAATTGGATAATCAAAACAAGGGGGAGGGGGTTGTTTCTAGAAATTATGTTCATCATGGAATATGCCTGATTCAATACGTCTAGTACTCAGTCAAAAATCTACAAGTGAAGTAATTCTTAAACAAGAATAACTTAATGATGAAATCCTTAAAATTAAATAATCTTTGAACAAAAGTCAAGGAAGATAGAGTAACTTTCTGATTAATCATTTGAGCTTCTGCTTAGTTCAATACTACCACAAATGTTCCTTTATAGTAGATGCCATGATGGATTTCAAACCCTGTTGAAAAGTAATAAGAGTTTATTCTGAAATGTCCTGCTGACAAAAAAGGTCCAAGCTACAAGAGAAGGAATTTAGCACTCAATATTCTTCTAAGTAAAAGCTTTCAGACTGATCCAGAGTTGGTGAAGGCATTTGATGTCCTTCCACTGCCTGCATAGAAGATTGGATCAGCTTTTAAGAGTGTCATAGAGGTCATCAGAACTAGGATTTCTTTCAACTGAAAAATACAAGATTGAGGAATTAGAAGCGTACAATAATTTGATTCTGCAGAGATTTTTAAAATATCTAAATAGGAAAATGCTATTAATAAATATTTTCTTTTGTATCATATGTTCACATCATATTACTTTCCCGTAATTCTTTTCACTTGAAAATTTCAAACTGCCTGAAAAACATTAATCAACTTCATAAAACAAACAATACAGAATGTCACTGTCTGAATTGGAGCCAAATACCTGATTTACAAATTGATTGCAAAAGTGGATAGAAAGAGTTGTAAGTAATTTTGTTCCAAGTTCTTGAACTGATGCCTAACATGTTTTGGACATTGACATTACAGTTTTCAACAGGTTTAGTTTTATAGTTACATAAGTATGTTTAAAAAAAGACAATGCCCACTCTGCTAAAAAGTCTATATACAGATTGAAAAATTGGAACAAAAGTTGCTAAATAATAAAGTCTTGGACCTTTTCTGGTTGGCAAGCTCACACATAAATGTTATCGGTTACATAAATGTTATCGGTTACTTTGGGTGAATGCTCGGTGTCCACCAAGACTCCACCCAACCCCACCCCCCCAAAGGGAGAAGGAGGAGGAAAGGGGGAAAAGGAAAAAAACTTGCAAAAACCGAGGCTGCTGAGAAAGGCGGTTTTATATTTACGCAGAGAAGAAAAAAAAGAACTATAAGCACTATACACAGAGGGAAAATTAACAATAAAAACTACTTCCCCACGAAAGCTGTTTTCCTCCTCTGAAAACAGCTGTCTATCCCGCACAGTCGTCCCAGAAGAGAAGAGATGGAGTTGTTTCCTTCTCATCTCTTTATATCTGAGCTGACGTAACATGGTACGGAATAGCTTATTGGTAAAATATACATCGTGTGACCTGTCTTAGTTCCGTTTCCCTCCCAGGGAGGGTTACAAATCCACTACAATAAAGTAAATTGATTTTTAACTGCCATAGAGACAGGTACCTGCAAATCCACAGACTTTCCTGCTAGTTGGAAAATGCACATTTGGAAAAAAACAAAGATGGTCTCTCCTTTTGGCCAACTATTTCAAATGATTGGCCATGAGACGAAGCTTTCTAGAGGAAATATTTCTCCAGAGAAATGAAGTTTTAGTGGAAAGAGTGAAAAGGACCAGGCCTAAAGACCCAGAAAAGCATACTTGATAAATCCCTTCAAACTTAGAAAACATGACATTACATCTTTACCTGTCCATGTGTTTGGTCTGCTAGATCATGATTTGCAATATGATATGTAATCTGTGGTTTGAGGAAAAATGGATTTGATAAATAGTGGCATGTGATTCAGTAGGTTTGGGGTGGTTTAAGCTTGTTTGGGTTTTTTTGCAGTGATTGCTGCTGGCAAGATATCAACGTTTCTTTGGAGGAACTGATTGGAATACTTGTTAGGAAAATTCTTACTCTAACAAGATAATGAATCCCAATCTTTCTCTTTTCTTCACAGAAATTAAGATACTGGTAAGGAGTGATACCAAAATTATTATTTAGCCAGCAGTAGCAGAATCAAATGACCCAGTTGTAGAAGCTATATGGGACACATGAAGGTGATAAAATAATATTTAACAATCAAGTGCCACTGCAATTTCCCTCCAAACGACTTTCTGATTGAACTGGTTCACTGGAAGAAAATGCAAAAAGAACTGGGCACAGGTTTCCGAAACAACCCTGCCATTGCCGGTGAAAACCTGGTTGCTGGGATCTTCCCTGTGGGGTGAAGTTGTAGCCCCACAATTAAAGTTTGAGGTAGTGCAAAAGTTGGGCCGTGTTCCATGGGAGCAGTGGAGCTGGTTAGATGGTTTCCATGGACACGGCCTTGGGTTGCAGGGAGTACAAGGTTAAGACGGTTTGATAATGTGCAGGTGCTTGGATTCCTGGATGTTGTTGTAGGAATATGTTTGTGTTGTGTGTGAAGTTGGCAAGCTCAATAAAGGCTGCCTGCTGCGCTGAGCAGGCAGACATCTCTTTGTCTCACCATCCTAGTGTGTCTTGTGTGTCCTTCTTTTCCCCTCGGACCAAGACCTCACGACAGGTACCCCACAACACTTCCCCTTGCTGAACCTCTCTGGGTATACTCTATCAAAGAGTACCTCCGGATACCAGAACTCACTATGTAACTTTAGAGTGTAAAATCCCACTCACTACAAAGTAGCTCTTCTGACTTCACTGGAGTTACTGCAGACTTTAAAAAATATAAATGCTAGAACAAGCCATCTGAGCCTACTGGTGTGGTGCTTCAGAGATACAATTTTGGGCTTTAAGATGTTTGCTCTAGGAGGATAATACATATAAAAATTGGATGTATCTCACTGAGCATTGTAAAAAAAACAAAACAAAACAAAAAGAGCAGAAAAGGAAGTGGAAATTGCCATGAGAAAACAGAATGCAGACCTAAGGATGCTTAGAAAATACCACTTGGTTCTAACATCTGTCAAAAGTAAGTGAAATATTAGTAACAGGTGATTCTTCAGTCTTCCAGGAGATGTAAATGTGCAGTGTTGAATCAGAGAAAGGAAAATAGAAATGTATTTTCTACTACCTCATCTGTAATAAGTTAGACTGGCAGCCTAGATCATCAAATAACTCAATATGATGAGAATTTATGCAATGGGCATTTAAAGTGGGTCTGGAACAGTCAATGCAGTGAGTAACATGTTTTGAGGTGGAACAAAACAAACTGTTCTCAGGCAATGTCTTGTGTTCACCAGCCACAATTTCCTATTCCTTTCACTCTACTCCAGGCAAGCTTTCCAACAGATTCCTTGCATAAATGTAGATACTAGTGGTAGAATTCTGTCTATCAAATGCCATGAAAGTTATGCCCTTCACTTCAAAGTAATTGATATTTTCTCCTGGAAGTGATGTTTGGTTAACTGCTGAAACTTGCGTTTTTGGGTTGATCTGAGATAGTTGTTCCTTCTTTTTTATGTCAAGGGAAAATATTTGTATAAGAACATTCTTTCATTTTTATTGATAGCACATCCTGTGTTGTTGCTTTCTAAAATAGGTTTTAATTTCTTTGCATAGCCAGCTGATGAAGTGCACTAGCAAACAGAGCTGCAGAAAGCCACAATGGCAGTGAAGCATTTTAACCCAGCACACGATATACACAGCAGGTTGCTGTGCAGACACTGACTTATAGAGTTGAACTGAATGGGACAAGAAAATGCCACACATTCACAAGGCGATTATTTGTGCCTGGCTGACTCCAGCTGACTGCAAAGTGCCTCTGTCAAGCTCTCTGTCAAGGCTGAGTACTGGTGCTGAAAAATAAAAGGCAGTATGTGAATA